AGTTGTAATTTTCCCTAAATTTCAAATTATTCCATGAGCCATTTTTGACTGAGCTTCAAGCGAATCACACCTGCGCATGTATAGCTATAAAATACTCCATTGATGGAGCTTCATGCAAAACTTTTTATGTCTGACTTGAAGTGGACGAACACAATCACATCAAAATCCATATTTAAAGGAAAAAATGAATTCTTTTAAACTTTTTGTGTTATGAATGTAATCAGAATAATGCCCTGTTTTTCCGATTGCAATCTCTTTCATGTTTACAAATTTATGCCAACTGTGGAGGTTATTGACGTTCATATATATAACTGTTTGAAAGACTTGACGCTTGCGTGTGAAAGTAGATTGAAGTTGAAGAACAGTCACATCAATTCAATTGCTTGCTCCGTTTTTAAATAAATCTACTGGATGTTGAGCTCTAGAGATATGGCCATGCCCGCCGCCGGAACCCACTTTTTGGATGCCGAAACTCTGCTGTTGAACAGCGTTGTTCATGGCTCCGTCGACTTCAAAGACTGCCCTGTTGCTCGATCCATATCCGGTGGTTGGAAGTCCTCTTTCTTCATCATCGGTACTGTATATGTTACCCAATTTACCATTCAGAAGGTTGCAGCACTTTTGACAGTATTTTATTTATATTTTGGATTAGTTAGGTGTTGAAGTGGCTGAGAGATTTGCATACTGTACAGGAATCAGATCGAATTTGATAAGCTATTTGACAGGTCCGTTGGGACAATCAACCGCAGCTGCGGTGGAGAATGTGAATGGTTGGTCCGGCACGTCCATGATTTTGCCACTGGTGGGTGCTTTTGTGGCGGATTCTTTTAAACATAACTAAATAGAATAAGGCAGTGTTTGATAGCATGAAATTACGTGAAAATGGAATTCTAATTTCATCTTTTTCATTTTTTTGTTGTTTGGTAGCACAATTATTTTCATGAAATTTCAATTCTTGATTGTCTTGAAAAGTGTGGTTTTCTATGTTTTCATGGACCACCATGGGAATTGGTTTTCCCGGTACGGTAGCAATTTTATTATTATTATTATTATTATTATTTTGGATAATGGAAACAAATTCTAAGAATTACTGTTAAAAAATATTTCCTTTTAATTGACAACTTTCATGTAAAACAAAGTCAAACGATCACTCAAAGATAGCTGAATTTCTTGAATATTTTTTTTTTTTGCAATGGAAACCAATTTCATTTCCAATATCAGTAAATTTCATCCATTTAATTGACAATTTTCATATAAAATAAAGCCAAACGAATATCAAAAAACACTTTTATTTCAATATTTTTCACGTGGAAAATTATATCAATCAAACACAATAATTTACAATTCCCAAAAAAATAAATTTTAGACAATTCAATTTCCTGGAATTCGTTTTCAATTCAATTCAATTCCATCTTTATAATCAAACGAATTCTAAGAAATTTATCCAAGTCTAATTCTATCAAATCTCAGCTTCCACCCAACTAGGATTGTATTCATGGTGTCTTATCCAAATCTACTCATGTTTACTTTACTGAATACACAATTATTGAAGGCGCATGTCTCCTCCACTAAAAATATGGGTGTTAAAAAAAAAGATTCCATATGTTTTCGTTCTATCATTGGATTATATACGATATTATCAAGCCCACTTGCACATTGACAGGAGCTTTTAAGCATGCTTTAAGACGTACGTAAACTCTGGATCCTCCTCTACATGGATAACATTATTCTGAAAAAATCCAAGGAAAAAAGAAAGATAAACGAAACCCACCTTTTGGATGCCGAAACTCTGCTGTTGAACGACGTTGTTCATGGCTCCGTCGACTTCAAAGGCTGCCCTGTTACTCGATCCACATCTGGTGGTTGGAAGTCCTCTTTCTTCATCATAGGTACAGTATATGTTACCCAATTTACCATTCGAAAGGTTACAGCATTTTTAGCAGTATTTTATTTATATTTTGGATTTGTTAGGTGTTGAAGTGGCTGAGAGATTTGCATACTGTGGAATCAGTTCAAATTTGATAAGCTATTTGACGGGTCCGTTGGGACAATCCACCGCAGCTGCGGCGGAGAACGTGAATGGTTGGTCCGGCACGTCGATGATTTTGCCACTTTTGGGTGCTTTTGTGGCGGATTCTTTTCTTGGTCGGTACTGGACCGTTGTCATTGCCTCTGGGCTCTATATCCTGGTCAGTACACGAATCATTCACTAATATATAGTTTCTGTTTTGAGCTTTAAAATTATGTAATGCCCTACCATTTTTGGCAACTGGGAGTGACTCATGCTGGCCAAAGCATGTACTCCCCAGGTTTCCACTTCGTGTGACACAAGTCTTTATTTTTTTATCTACACTTTTCCGAGATTTATAATGCATGCTCTTTGTACCAGTGACTACCCCTGTAACATAAGATGCAAGCTGCCAATTCAATATAATCAGCTACTTTATGGTTAGATACCTTAAATTGAGTTTCACAATAAGAAAAATGTAGAAGTCCAGTTCTTATTCAAAATATATGTGGCTGAATGATTCTCAAAGGTTTTGAAGAATCATGAAACCGTTTGAGAAAATGACAATTTTCTTCCTCACAAATAATTTCTGGTAAATTCATTTGTATTTAGAAAGCTTTCCTTGGAACAGAGAGCCAAGGACTTAAAATTGAACAGTTGTCACAGTCACTTCATCAACACACAGTCTTTCTTTTCTTTTAGCTAACAACATTTGTGAACATGTTTTCTTCTTGGAAATTCTAATCGTTTTCTGTTATCATTATGGATCTCAGGCACTTGGCTTCTTATCCCTATCTGCTGTTCTATATTCAATCAAATCTTCCGACTGCCATTTTGCTGCAAATAACATCGCCGCATGCTCCCCTCCACAGTTTCAAATTATTTTCTTCTTCTTCTCTTTGTATTTATTTGCACTAGCACAAGGAGGACATAAACCTTGTCTCCAGGCTTTTGGAGCTGACCAGTTTGATGATCTAGACCCAAAGGAATGTAATGACAAAAGCTCATTCTTCAATTGGTGGTATTTTTCCATGAATTTGGGTATTATAATTTCTCTGTTTGTATTGATCTACATCCAAGACAACCTAAGTTGGGCTCTTGGCTTTGGAATTCCCTGCATTATCATGTGCCTTGCGCTAATTATATTTTTGCTTGGAACTATGACTTACCGATTTCGCACACACAGCGATGAAAGAAACCCATTTGTTAGAATTGGTCAGGTATTCCTGAATGCATCTAGAAATTGGCGGACTACCCCAGGAACAATATCTAAGGAAGAGGAGGCACAGGGAATTCTGCCATATCAAGGATCTCAACAGTTCAAGTAAGTCAACTGCCCCTTTGTGTGTTTTGATATTGGGAAGATAAACTTTGACTCTTCATCTCGCACGGTGAGGCCGAAAGAAAAGGAGTCCCATTTAACCAAGTGAAGTGGGCGTAAAAGGTAAGTAGCAATTAGGGCATAGTAATGAATCAAGTAAGGGCCCACACATGATAAATGGGCTACCAAGTGAATTACTTCTCACTGGCCGTCCAAGTAAATGGAAATGGGCCATGAGCAGCACTAAATAAATTTGGATGATTCAAATGGCCCAATTAACCTTTGGGTTAGGTTATCTCGATTATGGTGCTAATTTACCATTCAGTCATTTGGTGGAGTTAATTGAGAATTAAATCCAGTCAACATCATAGCCCGGGAGGTTGTTTGACAACAATTTGCCCAACACTGTGCTTTATATGATTGAAATAATGGGATCAATCTCATTTGTTTCGTTATATTATTTTTGGTTTCAAACAGGTTTCTTGATAAAGCGTTGCTTGCACCTGATGGTTCGAAGGAAGATGGGGAAGTTTGTAGTATCACTGAGATTGAAGAGGCAAAGGCAGTTCTTAGGCTTTTTCCAATATTGACTGCAAGTTTGGGATATGCCATTGCATATTCACAATCATCGACTTTATTCACTAAACAAGGAGCTACAATGGATCGTTCTATCACGTCTAGCTTACAAATACCAGCTGCTTCACTGCAATCTTTTATCAGCATCGCCAGTGTTGTCTTTATTCCTATCTATGACCGAATTTTGGTTCCTATTGCAAGAGCTATAACTGGAAAACCATCTGGCATTACAATGCTTCAACGAATTGGAACTGGAATGTTTTTATCTTTTCTTGCCATGGTAATTGCAGCTTTGGTCGAGAGGGAACGTCTAAAAACAGCTGCTGAATATGGATTGGTGGACATGCCGAAAGCAACAGTGCCTATGAGTGTGTGGTTGCTGCTACCTCAGTATTTGGCTTTAGGTGTTGCAGATGTATTTACCGTGGTCGGACTCCAAGAGTTCTTCTATGACCAGGTTCCGAACGAGCTGAAAAGTATCGGTCTTGCTCTATACTTGAGTATATTTGGCATAGGGAACTTCTTGAGCAGTTCTCTAATCTCTGTGGTGGAGGAAGCCACCAGTGGTCCGGGGCAAGACAGTTGGTTTTCAGACAACCTTAACCGGGCTCATTTTGACTACTTCTATTGGCTACTGGCTGCGCTTAGTGCTGCTGCATTCTCTGCGTACGTGTACGTTTCAAAATCTTATATCTACAATAGAAGAAACTGTCTTTGAAGTTGCATTCTGTGGTGGAGATAGCTACTAGTGGCCAAGGTTGAAAAGATTTTCTTATCGGCTACTGGCTGGGCTTAGTGTTACTGCTTTCGTTGGATACTTGTACTTCACAAAATCTTGTATCTATAACAAAAATAAACAGGATTTGAATTTGCATAAAAATGCTGCCAGGACAAATATGGTCAGTAAAAGAGAAATACCACTCCCTGTACATTCAACTTGTATAATAAATATAGTTCATTTGCGGTCAGTTTCACCTACATGCGAAAGCATGACCAGAGATTTTACTCCATGGGATCATCTGATATTTGTTGTCCATTGTGTTAAATCTTAGACATAGTAGTGACGAAGTGAGTTGAATGAAGAAAAAGAATTTAGAGCCAACTTTTAAATTTATAGAAAATAATGATTAATTTGTTGTCACTTGCATTAAGTACATCGATTTGCTATGTGTTGAACAATCATCGCCAATATGGAGGTTAGAAATAGAAGTTTTTTCATTGTATTTTGTACCAGATTTGCTGACTTGAAATTCAACGGGACGGAATCTTGTTGTTAACAGATCCAGCTCTACTCCCATCCATATGTATGGTACTTGCACGCTTTGACATCACGTTAAACTACATGTTATTGCAGAGCACTCTGATACTCAAGCCAAATAGCTGAAGATATTTAGGTGTGGAAGAGGCAATGGACGAAATAACAATTGCCAAGTTGAGTATTTCCAAGATTTAGAGAGTGATCTTGAATTCAAAATTGCATTACCTTTACAAGTCTCTTTGTGTCAAGAAAGTGTCCACTTGATGCTTGACACATAACCTCATCCTATTAGTAATGTTCAAGCTCCATAGGGTCAATTGCTCTCTATCATATGCTTGTGATCATCGACCATAGGCTGAAAAGCAATTCTTTTCAATATTTATCTTTAAATTGAGAATTTTAACCTATAAAAATCAAATACAGTACACAGTGGGTAGAAATTACACCTTGGTCCCTTTTCAAGAATTTTCGAATTGAATGGTCGGCTCGGTACCGATCTTCCCTGGCCCGCAATTCCTAGGAATTGAGTAAGAGCCAGTACCGCCCCATCCTTCCCCGCATTCCTTCCTAAGGAATGGAGAACGACCCAGCTGCAACTGCTATTGAATCAGCGTAAGGAGATGTCGATGAGGGTAGAATAGAGAAAAGAATTTGCTTTGGTTGGCCCCCGTTCATTAAGGTAATTGCATTCACCTTCTCGATTGGGTTGACTTCAGTTTTGCTTGGATATGTGTCTTGTTATTACTCAGACAGCATCTTTGCTACCTGCCCTACTTGATTTTCCAGTTTCTTCAAAGTTTCATTTTGGCTCCACATGGTAGTGTCATTCTTCTCCCCATCTTTCCTTCTGCTCCTGTGGTGGATTCTGAATATTTTGTATATTGTTATAGGAGATATTAGGATGACTCCTCCAACGTTGACCATATATCTAAGAGTAGGGATTATTTTATTGGTTCTGAAAGTTTTGAGCATAAATACCTTGCTCACTTGGTGATGGATGATTTGTGTGACCAATAGGCATTCCGATGTCAGTATATTTGCCTCACAAGCACCACAAACTAAAAGAAGTGCTTGCACCATATTAACTGATCGAGTAGTTAATATTTCATCCCTCTTCTTTGTCAATGAATCGATTTTTGCAAGGACAAGGGAATCGGCACCCACCCCTTGCATTTCGTCTATTTTCTTTCTGTGTTCCACCATCTGGCCCCGCTGCACCGTGCTCACTCATTATTTCAAGCAATTCCTATGCTTTGTAGACAGTCTTCATTCTTTCTTTCTTTTTTTGTAATGGATCCTTTGGAAGCTGTATCAACTGTAGATCGATTGGATGGAAGCAACCCAGAATCGAAGTATTGTATTTAAAGACCCTTTACGGTACCGTGATTCAATCACTTACTGAGTAGTTATTTGAATCTTTTCCAAGCTTCATAAAAGCTTACCAAATGAGACGGGAAAATGGAGATGTCATGTTTGAGTTTGGCAATCTTGATTGGAGGAAAATACTTTGTGGTGAACTTCTATACTAGTTTTGTCCATGTAGTGATGCTGTCGATAGTACTGAATCAAGTCATTCCCTATCTTTATCCCTTAAAGTTTAGGGAAAAAGCATAATCCTAATCGCCTCTTCGTTTGTTCCTTGCTATTTGAAGCTATCTCAAATTCTCATGAAATGTAAAAGATGAGAATGTCTGTCCTTCTCAAGAATGGTATATAGCTGGCGAATAAGTTGATGACATCTGGCTTCAGTTAAAACCTTGAATTCCCATATAGACGATAGGTGATGCTCGATTTATTTTCAACAACAGAAAGAACCACAAAGTCCCTTACTAGCAAGGCCTCCTTGTCAATTTCGTGGTCTCCCATCTCATGTTATCTTCGATCTCTTGCTTATCTTTATTCCCAGCGATAAATGAAATTAATTGACGCAAAAAGTAAACAAAACGGCCATCGTAGTATTGCAATTTTATTCTGCAAATGAACAGTATTGTACACAAGTAATATTTATGTGTAAAGTTTGAAACATGCGAAAACTAACTATCAACTAGTTATTAACTTGAACAAAAAATTGCATAATTAATATTTTGATTTTGAATTTAATTTTAATTATATATAATTATTTACTAATATAGGCAATTAAGAGTAAGTAATATTTTGGAACTCAAACAAGTCACGGAAGTCACAAAGCGTGTGTTCTCTTTGTCGTATTCGGGCCGTTTTCTGCTTTCAATTTTTCAAAACGTTGAAAACGCGTTCTCTTTCCTGTTTTAAAAAACGAATTTTCGAAAACGAAAAAAAAATTGTGAAGAAAACACAAAACGACATTTTTGTTGTTTTGGGCGTTTTCAATACAAAATTAGAAAAAACTGAAAATACAGGAAATGGTTCCAAAATAGCAAAAAGAACGCATTTTCAGAAATTTCAAAACAGACACTCAAAACACAAAACTCAAAATGAATTCAAAATTCAAAACTACAAAATTGAAACACGAAAATAATAGCCCCTAAGATTTCGAATTCGCCATGTGAATTCACTTTAAACCTCACATATTTGTTATTAGCCAACTATAACTTTTTGTTGACAATCAAAATTTTTTATGTTCTAATTTTCGGTCTCGATATATATTAATCCAATTTGTACCTAAAATTGCACTAAGAATAGAAGTTTATTTTTATCTTCTATGGGATCTAGTTTTTGTTATTTGAGTTAGAAACACGAATCACCTCTCGGTATAGTGTCGAATCCCAAAAATAATCCTAAAACTGGTTAAATAACAGGATGATAATTAATTAAATAATAAATAATCAATCAACAAGTAAAAATTATAAAGAAAACAAAGGAAACCTTTAAATATCTGAATATCAACCCAAATAAAGAAAGAACAAAAATTATAAAGAAACCAAACAAAACCCATCATAAAAGTGCAGCATATTACAATACATGTCAGGTAGCACAACGAATCATAACTTACAAAATTACAAAAACTTCTCATATGTTAAATGAACCGGACCTCCACTAAAAATACACAACATCCTTTGATTTCTTTATAACAAGGAAAATGAATAGATAGTCGCGAGACGACGAGAGTTGCTTAAAGAATTTAGTGTGTATCTCCTTCAACAATCCATGAACCCATTGAAAAACAAACAATTAAATCTATTGCAAATAACAAACAACACTGAAATCAAATTGAAACATCAATCTCTTTAAAATCCAATTCCCCAACATAAGTGACATGAAAAGAAGAATAAAAAGGTACAAAATATGAAAAATTATACAGTTAAATATTAGAAAATTAAGCAAAAGAAGATCACACGATATGGAATGAGCCAAACCTACTTGTAAAAATCATGAGGAAGAGCCACAAGAACTCCAGCTCCATAACGCCTGCTAAAAATGAAAGTGTGTGCAACATCTTATTTTTTGCATCGAGACCAAAATGTAGGAAAAGTTCTCCTGCCCTGTGTACTCACAAAAGAGATGAGAAGTCAAGAGAGAGTTCCTTAAGTAAAGGACCACCAAGAAAACACAAAAGTAATTACCTTCTAAAACCAGAGCAATATCCCGAAGTAAAGAATTGCAGAGTCCATAAGTATAATTACAAGCTCATGAACAAAATGGAAATGGCTGAAGTTCAGAAATAAAAATCAATAACAAAAAAACTTGTGGTTAGTGGGAAAACTCATGCAAAAAAACAAAAGCATACAGGAATAACGATTACTAGAACAAAAGGTAATAGTATTCAATCTTTTCTGAAGACTATAGACACAAGATTTTTCAAATTTCTATTGGCTAATTAACTCCGTCAAAAGCTTTAGAAGTTCTGGTAACTTTAGAGCACCATGTTAAGATAAGTCCAAAAAATATACACAAATATCATAAATCCTGAAATGTTTCGAAGCCAAATAAATGTAGGAAACAAAAGTCAAAACCAGATATAGAACAAAAAATCAGGAATCTAGCTTTAACAATGTATATAGAACTAAATTTAGTGATTCTTGGGAAACCTTTTGTAAAGTTCAGTGATGAATTAGGTGATTTTTAAAGTTCAGTGACATCGTGGAAACTTTTACAAAGTTCAGTAATGAATTGTATGATTTTTAAAGTTCAGTGACCATTTGGGTAATTCACTCATGGAGTTATCATGGAATAGAAAAGCTAAGAAGGAGAAGATGAAGTCAAAGACAAATATTCATCACTTTTTGTCCAATCATAAGGTAAATTTTGAGAATGACATTTTTTGAAGGTACAAGGGATGTAGAAGTTTTACAACTAAAATGAAATTGGGCTCATATTTTTAATGTGATAATCTTGCACGATGAGCTTAGCCCATAGACGAGCTTTGTGCTTGTCCTACATAAGATATGAAAGTCCAATACTAATCTAATATGCTTTAAATAAATTTAATCTCATGGAGGTTTAACAAGCAACTGTGCATGTTTTTTTAAAAAAAGAAATTTATTTAAATAAGGTAAGATGGAATGTAATGTTATCCAAAAATTGAAATCGAAAATTAAAATTTATTTATGTATAGTAAATATTTCCAAGATTAGATTTGCATACATGTTATTGTTCAAAAGAATTAATTTATAAATAAAAGAGGATTTAAAGTTTTTATTTGCGGATTTGTGTTGTTAGCTCCTTATTTTATTAATTAAATAAATTCTAGGGCCTTAAACCTCAAATACACACACTTATTATATGTAAAAACACTTTGAACAAGAAAACTTTCAGAAATATAAAAATAAATAATAAAAATAAATAAATTAAGGCGAGGCAGATTCTTTTATGCTTAGGGTGCCATTTAGGATACAACATTCACCATCCAAGTTCGTTCATTCAAAAGCGTCAAACTAAAAGCATATCCAATAGACTCTCTATTTTTAAAGAGTATATTCTATCATTTGGAGAGTGTCTATAAATTTAGGAAGTTAAAATTTTGAAGTACTCCAACGAGTTCTTTACATTTAAAATTTAATTTTACTACTCCCAAAAATTATTTATCATTTTTCTCTATATTTTATTTTAACTAATTGTTCTTTAGATTATTTTATTATTTTTCCTATATTAAAAATTTATATACTTTGAGTGCATTTAATTATAGAGAGTAAGTTTGGCTCTCCAGACCCACCCTTTAAATTAAAATGTTAATTTAAAGAACTTTTTAAAACAATGATTTTAAATGTTAACTCTTTAAAATAAAGAACATATCATGCATAAAGAGTTTTTTTAAAATACTTTAAGATAAGTAGAGGTGCAAGTGGTTATTTCATTTTTAAGTTATGCATTTTTCGTTAAAGTACAAGCAAAATGGCTGCTTTCGAGTACGGTGCTTCGACACTACTATAGTTGGAATGATTATTCTCCGATTCTATGTGTTGTGATGATTGTGACGATATGAATAGTTTGAATTTTCTAATTCGATAACAAAGTGCACCGATGATATCTATTGAGTTTCAACTTATGGGTTAATTCCCTTTCTATGAGTTAATTTGATTTACTTGGGATATGGATAATGGTAAATGAAGGTACGTTGTGTTATGGAGAAGCCAATGACTAATTATTTTTTTTAATGAGTTTAGAAAAAAAATGTTTAAGTGTTTCAAATAAATAGATTTAGATGAACGACGTTTGAAGAACTACTTTTAGAATCCTTTCCTAAATTAGTTATGTTTAACAGAAATTAACTTACAAGTTCCATTTCTCAGAGAAAAAATGTTAGCAATAAAGTTGATTGTTGCTTCTTTAAAAAAATAAAAAATAAAAAAAAATTCGGCTTCTGCTCTTAATATGTTGTCGAAAGAAGCCAATTTTTTTAATATGCTATATTACAGGAGGTTTCCTATTTTATTTTAAAATTTTCTGAAATTTCAAAGTCGATAGCTATGAATTTATTTTGTCATTTGTCATGCGAAATAGAAAAATAAAATAATTTAGTTTTGTTTACTATTTAAAGATATGAATACGTGGAAAATTGTTTCAAAACCTTTAATTTATTTGGTAAACACATGCCTGCCATTGTTCATATAAGAAAATAGATAATATGTATGGAAAATTGTATTGTTTAGGGGAAAAAAAAAGGAAAAAAAATTCTTAAATTAAATCTTTATGCTTGGAGGTCTCATTAGCCAAAGAAGACCCTGGCCAATCCACGTGGCCTACTTGACAAACATCAGTGCCTACCATCCACACCAGAATAAATAGAGTTTTTCGAAGGGTTTGATTGAAGTGTGAGTTCAGCCAACAAGTATACTTAATTGCATTTCATTAAAAATAATTTTTTAAATTTTTATTTTTAATTAGTTATTTGAAATTTATTTGTCCCTTTTTGAACATTTTGGGAGTATAGTTACAATATGTTCTTTATTTTTGTTTTATTTAAATAAGAGGGTAAATGCATTATTTTACAACTTTTAATTGAAAGAATAGATGAAAATGACGATTTTCACAATAAAATGTGAAATAAGGGTGAAAATGCTGAAAAATGAAATTTATGAACGTTCTGCACAATAATATTGAAAGATATGGATATTTTGTGCTAATTACCATTTTAATAATTTATTTCGACTCACTTACAGTTTTTTTTAAATTTGGGAGTATAATTACAATTTATTCTTTAATTTCTCTTTTCTTTTCTTTTCTTTTTTTGTTCAAATAATAAGGTATATATGTCATTTTACATTTTTATTGAGAATTTGGAAGAAAATAACATTTTTCATAATGAAATATGAAAATAGGGATGAAAATACCAAAAGTAATACATAACATACAAAAAATGTACCGTCAAAATAATACTCCTCTATGTATGAGACTCCCGAAGATCAATACAAGCTAATTTTGTAATCATTATATTACTACAATTATCAAAGATTGATAATTATTTCATATGAAGATGGTGTTATTTGAAGACTACACAAGACAACATGAGATATGCTTCACAAAAAATTACAATATTGAAAACGTTGACATACAAGATAAGGATGAATTAATAGAAGAATTGAAATTAGGGAGAGCCGTTGTACTCTTTTTCCTTCGATCAAATTTTTCCCTCCGAATTTTCTTGACAGTGTTTTAACAAGATAGATATTTTGTAATGTGTCATTTAAGAGAAGTATTGTAAATAATATGATCATTAATGAATGAGAATTATACTCTTGAAGTCCTAGTTTTTATTATTATTGTATTCCTAATTCTTTCATATAAATATAGAGTTATTTATATAGTTTTATTTCCCAATAAAATATACAAGTCTATTAACTTTCTCTTATTTCCCTTCTTTTTTTCTCTAGTTTAACACACAAGATATTTTAGGAGAAAATTGGATACAACCCTTACTAATGAACTCTTCAATAATTATAGATGACACCTTCTTTATTTTCCAAATCATCGAAGTTTCAAAGAATTCTTATAGATTCCGTTCCAAATTTTTTTAAAAATTCAAAAAATTTCTCTACATATTAACGACTCGTTCTTAAAAAAAAAAAATAATAAATAAATATCTTTTTTTTTTTTTGGGGGATAAATAGATCTCAAACAAAGACTTGTTTGTTGGACTATATACTAGGAACTAATTAATTATAAGAAATGTAACACTTGTTTGTTGGACTATAAACTAGGAACTAACTAATTATAAGAAATGTAACTATTAGAGTGCGTTTGATAGCCAATATTTTCTATGAAAAATGTGTTTTTCATCTACTTTTATGCTGGTTGGTTCACATTTTTTATAGAAAATATTTTCCTACTTTTGGTCACGTGATCATATTTTTCTCAAAATTAAGAAAAATTTTCTTTAGGGGAAGTAGGAGTTTATTTCTTAGGGAATTCACTTTCTCTTTTTCTCTCTCGTCTATTTAATTTCTCTCATCTACCCACTAATAAAAAAATGAAAAATCTAATATTTTCTAGGTTGAAAATTAAATCAATCAAACACATATTTCTATGTAGATGAGTTCTAGACAATTGAATTATCTAATATTTATTTTCTTTCCAATAAAATTTCATGTTTACAATCAAACGCACTCTTAGATTAAGATTACTCACATCCTAGAATTTTTTTTTTCCTTTTTCTTGTTTTCCAGTCAAGAGAAAATCCTAACTCCACCGCTAGTTGGGTTCCGAATTTTGTGCAGACTTACGGACTTGTATTATTTCTTTTGGATGGTGATTTTCACAAATTAAATAAATCCTCCCTCTCTGCTACGTGTTTCGAAATCCCGGGTGCATGCATTTACGTATATAAGTCTACAGTGTCCACGTATATAGTCAAACACCGAGGTTCTTCGTTCTCAACTTGTTCAATTCTTGAGTCAGTTTCAGCATTGTGCACGAGTGAGTTGTACAGAGGAGTACTACTCAATGTCTATTTCTTCAGCCGAATTTCAGAGCACTGAAAATGTCGCCATTGACGACACTGTCGCCGGCATGCTTGATTACTCCGGCCAGCCGGCCAAGAGATCAAAATCGGGATACTGGCGATCTGCCTATTTCACTACAGGTAACTGCTTTTTCTTTTTTTGTTTCTTTTTTCTTTTGAGGCTTTTCAAGAATGTCCAATTTTAAGGGTTTGAGTTGTAAAGTTCCACTCATTTGAATCTAGTGTTAACTTGTCTATCATGCTCTTAATGAAAAAATGGAGCAATTGAATGTCGTTCTCAACATTTGATTTTTTTTTTCAATTTTTCACGAATTTCGAGAAATATTTTTTATGAAAAGTTACATTAAAATAATGTTTCTCGATATTTCATATATAATTCTCGACATTTGAACACCGTTTCATTTGTTTAGAATGACATTTCATTTTGAATATGACATTTCTCTACATTTGAAATGCAGTTCTCGACATTTCTTAGTCAATGAAAAACATTGCATTTATTGTGATTTGACATGTATGCTTTTGAAATAAATATGGCTGG